TCTGGTCTGGTCTGGTCAGGTCAGGTCAGGTCAGGTCAGGTCAGGTCAGGTCTGGTCCGGTAAGGTCAGATAAGACCAGACCAGATCCGATCAAATCAGACCAGATCAGATCAGATCAGATCAGGTCACGCCGGGTCAATCGGAGCCTGACCTGCTCGTCGACCACCAGGTGGATGCCGTCGCCGCCGGACGGGTAGATGTAGTGCTGCAGCGGCGTCGGCCGGAAGTCCGTGTACACCACGTGACACGGCTGCTTGTGCAGGTAGGTGATCCACTCAGCGAACTGCGCGCAGACCAAGGAGTCACGTGACGCCCGGTAAGCAAAACTGAGCTGATCACCACAGAAGGCGCGAGAGACACACAGAGCATTCGTCCCTGACCTCCACGTAAGCTAAATCACGGTGACTCCGTCCATAATGCGCGCTGAGTTCACATCGCTCTGGTTTCAGCTCCAGACAAATTCAAGCATTACAGAAGGCAAGTCATCAAGTATATGCCAACCAATGATCGTGCAAACATCGCTACCTTCCAGTTTACACGGGGTCCGATCATCCCAGGCCGCTGACACGGGCCGTGCAGGGCACCACCACCGCCCAGCCCCAGCTGCCGTGCGGCCCGTGCCAGCTCGGGTCGCACCTGTCTGGCGTTGGGTATGGTGGCCGAGAGGAAGACGTAGTGGACCGAGTCGGGCAGCAGGATGATGGTCTCCTCCCAGACGTAGCCACGCGACTTGTCCCGCATGTAGTGGATCTCGTCGAACACGACCCAGGCCACCTCGCGCATCACCTCCGAGCCTCGGTACAGCATGCTGCGCAGGATCTGGCGGCGCGGGGCCGATCAGCTCCCGCAGCACCAGCGCTCCTCCCGCCTACCGTTCGGCCAGAGCGCGGAAATCGACAGCGAAAAGGGTATGATCACGGCGCCTGTTATGTTCCCCTTCCGCATGACCATCGACACGCCAAATGGCAGCCTGTGGATCACGACCCTCTTCTGATGTCCGTGTTTTCAATCCTAGCATCCAAATCACGGCCCCGGTCGTCGCAGCACCTTGATCACTGTACACGCTGGAAGGCTTCATCTACTGACTGGTAAACGCATGATTCCAAATAAGACAAGTCATCATTCCATGCTATGACTGCTTGTAACGACTGGAAAGGAACGATGGCCGACTAGGCGCAGCAGACTACGAAAAACTGCAACTTCCTTGAGAACTGCCACTAATCCATATACATCCAGAGAAATATAGCATAAACTATGATACATAACAGCGCATGCTAAACGTCACGGCGCCTTTTCCGCCTGCAAGCTGAGTGACTTCTAGCCGTAATTGCCGTCGTGGAGATCCCAGGCATTATTCTCGGGCATCCTCGCGGCGCTAACACGACAGCTGCCTTTCTAACAAAAGCGAATGTTCTCTGCGCGCTCCGCGGTCGGCGGCGTTGTGCGGCACGACCCCACCAACCTCTGTGGTCATGATGAGGCACGAGGCGGTCGGGTTGATGGTGACGTCGCCCGTCATCAGGCCCACGTCCTGGAACTCCTCGTTGAACTCGCGGTACTTCTGGTTGCTCAGCGCCTTGATGGGGGTCGTGTAGATGACCCGCTGCTTGTCGCGCAGAGACAAGGCAATGGCGTACCTGTCAGAGGCGGAGACCGCGTGACACGTGCGGCACCTCTTACCGATCGACATGCCGACGGTTGCCAACGTCGCACGGAACACGAGCGTGGCCTCAGCGGGTGTCATTCTGGGAGAAAAGTGATCAAGAGAGAGATGATGAACAGCACCAAGCTGAGTGACAAGCTGTAGCACGCACATCAATCCAACAGGTCGGGAGAGAGATAGGCATTACCCGTCAGAAACGTACAAAACCGCCAATATGCCGCGGACTGGCCTCCTCCGCCAAAAGCTCACCCTCTCCAAACGCGGGGAGCTACTCACTCGGCGACGACCGTCTTTCCGGCGGAGGTGTGGGCCGACACCAGTACCGACTGGTTACTCTCCAGGCAGAGCACGGCCTCCTTCTGGAACGGGTCCAGCACAAACGGGTACTCCTTGGGCGGCGACCGGGTGGGCGCCGTCAGCGGCACGTACTCCTGGTCGGGCGGCACGCATACCTCGTGCACGCACGACTCCATCGTGTCGATGGTGTGCACCTGGATCCGCGGCATCTGCTCGGCCAGCCTGGGGCATATCACAGCTGAGGTTAGGCCATGTGTTCCACTAGGTTGTATGCGAGGTTCATGCAGCGGGGTGGCTGGGTCGGGTCAGAGCTCAGAGTAAGATGAGCAGAAGGTAGTGTGAAATACCCTGACAGCTGCAATTGTCAGGAGAGATGGAGGGTCATTGAAGCAGGATGTGGGAACATCACAGTTTATGCCATTCCTATGAGCAGTCCCAGCTGTGGATGAAGAATACATCAGTGAGGATTCCAGACTGCCAAAACCCCCCAATGCATGCTGCAATCTGTACTAAGTTCATCCCCAAACAGTGGATTAATGGCCAATTACAACATATGTACCACCTTCCCAGACTAGCTCAGATGTGCTTCATAATGTTGTGGCAGGTGGCACTCTACCTGCAAAGTTCAGCTTTCAATACAGTACCTGAAACAAACTACACCTGTGCAACAACACTAGCCTTGCATTTAATACACTCACTTAGCATCATCTACTGCCTCTTCCTCCACCTTGAACTTCTTGGCATCATCAGCTTCATCACCACTGGCCTCCTCAGCATTTCTCTTACCAGATGTCAGCTGCTGCAGCAGGTCATCCACTGATGGCTCCCTGTCACAAAGAGTGAGTCAGCTGTGCCAACCCAGAGACCCATGCCTGCCTGCCTGCCTTTCCCATCCTGGTACAGCTGGGTGTGATAGTTGGAGATTGGAAAAGTTGCAAAAGGCACAGACATCCATCCCATATCCAAAATGACATGTTGCCACCAGAATTATATTTAAACCAAGATCAAGCAAAACAAAACCAGAATTAGAAATACATGAACTAAATACTCAATTACATCCATCAGATACAGAGGTGCTAAAAACAAATAACATGAAGAGGCCAGATACAGATTTTGATCCCTATGCATTGAGATGAATTTGGTGTTCAATTTACCATTATTTATGAGGTGACAAGCACGCACAGGGTTCTAGAATCTGCTGTCTATAGCCTCATTCCTGAATATGCCTGCTTATTCTTTACATACAATACAAAGTACATATGTCTATAACACAACATCCATATAGCTTACACTCCTTTTGAAGTTTTTTGCTTAGCATTCTCATTCTTGTTTGCATTATCTGGTGTTACAGATGATTTATCTTCAAACACTGAGAAAAGGTCATCATCCATGATGACAGGCTGAAAAGGCAGTTTCAGTCACAAGATGCATCCAGCATAGACAAGGGCCTAAATAGCACTTCAAACTGATATCAAATCATATAAAAACACATCATTTAGGAACACAAACATCCTTAAGTTCTCAAAACCAAGTCCAGTCAACAAAAATAGAACACAATTTATGTGCATGAGAACACCAAGGCCCCAGACTGATGCATCTTGCTGTATATTCTAAATTTTTAAGTCACCACTAATGCCGTCTAGACATGTACTGATACCACATCACTTGGTCTTAACATGTCATGTTCCATGATGCCAGCAATAGCAATGAATTCAATGCAGTCAATCAGTTGAACAATGCCAGCACCAATGATGAGAACTCCCATATGAGGCCTTGAGAACCATCAGAATGATGTGGTAGCCTGCTGTTTGCATTCAATTAAAGACATTGCCACACAACAGTAGTGATGGCAAGATATACACATTGACTATTTCACAAGGAAATTTCAAGACAAATCAGAGACATTCTTATTAAAAAATTGGCTGTTAATAATTTGTTTTCAACCAAAGTGAATTTCAATTTCAGAGTACAAGTTAACACATTTTGTCCTAGAACAAATTGGTACAAGGAAATTGCTTGTAGGCATATGCAAAGTTCTTTCAATAGTAATACAAGATATTGGATAGACAAAGGTACCTCATGTTACAACAGAGCATTGCACATAAGCCACCTTCTTTAAGGGAGTAAATGTTGTAGATAATCATAAAACACATACATCTACTCACACCTTGGACCTTTAATAACTATTATAGATTATGTCCAGCACTGCAGAGACAAAACACTCCTGACTCCCTGCACAATTATGGATGGAGCAATCTGTCTGCAGTTCCTCCACAAAAACCTTTTGAGGAAAATGTAAAAAAAGAACCAGAATCTAACCTAACCTAGCCTAGGCTAAGCTGTCACCACCCTATCTAACCTCCCCACCCAATCCCCTGTATTCCCATGTTTCATTAGCATCTGTGCTGTCAGTATGAGAGAACTGCCTTTGACCAACATCCGCCATCATGATCATGATCATTATATGTTGAAGGTAAGATAATACGGTGTCCAGCAAATATTCCTCTTTTATGATCATTTATGGTGTCTGATGCCTTGGGGACATCAGTTCACGACTATTTCAGCATTGCAGTGTAAGGTCCCGATGCAGACAATGACCCAGCACACCAATCTCATCAAATATCCTGCCACGTCCACACTCACCAACGCTGTCTGACGGTACTCAAAATATCCCCAATGTTCCACGTAATTGTTCACACCAGCGTTCTATTGCCCTAGTCCACACGCACCACGCTGCTGCATACCGGTGTATGCGTTACAAACGTCCCAAGAAAGCAAGTTTGAAACATTATCCAAGTTTAATATGGATGTAAGCAAGTCAATTAAAAAAGAGAACGATTTTTATATCTTCTTAATCTTTGAAGCAGTAAAAGAAAGTTTCAATATTTGAAGCTGCTTTATTATGAAATTATTTTCTGCATATTAGTTTCGCTATATTTCTGTACTACTTGCGTAAATACGGACGAGGCTGGCGCGTTAGACGTTTCCGACGCTAAGGCTAGTGACTTGCTTTATTTTGCAAGCAATTTTGCCGGGTGGCCTTTTGGAGTCTGTCATCAGGCCATCGCATATCAGCCATAGTTTACAACCGGCAAAGGCATTTAAGAACAAAGCTTCGGGTACCAGCAACGTAAGTATTTAAGAAGACAGCTACAAGCACCAGCAGCGTAAATCCAAATTACAGCGACAATGATCCTTTCTCTTGACTTCAGTTTCCATCTCGGTCGTCGTAAGGTAAAACCCGGTGTGTTCATTTTTGGCTGTTTTGCGTTGTTAATGCTGCTGATCTGTCTTCTCATGCTAAATTCTGCTATTTAAAATGTTTGTCAAACTTTTCACCAACCTTTTAGCCCTTTTTCAGCTAAAAGTGAAATTTGCAGCAATGGTTGAATAATCAAATCCAGTACGAGAAGGCGAATCACATGGCATGAAAATGCCGGGTGGCTAAAAATGGATAAATGGGGTTTTATCTATGAGAGACAGACCTGCCCTCATGGGTGACATTGGTGGGTGCAGACTACCTGATCAGCAGGTGTGGCAATGCTTTGTGGCACATTTTATTAGAGGAATGTCTAAATTATGCTTTGTAACTGGTCGTACCGTACACATGAGCCTCCCAATGCCTTATTATTGTTGCAGGAGTACCCTAATTCCCAGGACATGTTTATAAAGGTGTTAGGAATGCAACCCATGTATTATGTGTGGATATTGAAAATCCTTCTTGGACCACTTTTTAACTAATGTCATGTCTGCTGTCTTCTATCCCTGAAACATTGGATCTCTGTGCACTGTGATCAGTTGTAACTGTGCATTGGTCTCACAGCAGTTAAGACAGATGTACTGTGCGTGACTGAACTCAGGGTTAAAATCTCATCACAGATATGCCAGACATAGCACCTTTACTGTGATATGTTTTTCCATTGTTGGCTGGTGGCAAAATTGTGTGGTGCAGCCTTATGACCAAATGTAACTGTTCCCTTGGTTTTATCTGTTTCATGTTTGGATAGTTGATCATTGTGTTATTTCTCAAAAAGATAAGGGGCTTGTTCATGTTGCTATTCTAAAAAAAGATGCCATGATTTTAGAAGAGGTGATGAGGGTATGGAAGTCTGCTACCATAGGAATGATTTTGAGGGAGATGTCAGCTGTCTGCATACAACTTTACCAAATTTTGTTTTGGTGCAGTGACAGTGAACAATGTTCAACATTGATTTTACTAAAAACAATATTGTAGAATAGTGATTCTATGGAAAAAATACCATGAACAGGACTGAAAATAGCTACCTGCATTAGTTCAGGCTCAGTGAGCTTGGCCAAACAATGTACCTGCTCTTTGTCTCTCACCTGGTACCACTGGCTTACATGTCATGCAAGGTTTTCCCAGGCAACAGGGGTGACAAACTTCTTTCATTGCACACCTTTCATGTTATTTCACCTTGTACTGCGCTGAGAAGTGATGACTTGGGATCAATGATGTTAGTTTCCTAGGATGCATTGTAGGTAGCCTTCATGTCTGAGACTTCACCCACTACAACTAACACCAATGTCTTGCAAAGACCACTTAACTGTTATAGTTGTCAGATGCCCATGGCAGCATTATGGCTTATCAGTTAGCACCTTTAGGTGCCATGTGGAGGCCCCTAGTTTGAACCCTGATTACAACATGGGCCCTGAGAGCTCAAATGGCCTGTGCAGTTGCTGATGCCCTGTGAAAGGGTGCATGATGATAACATGACTGTCATGCCCCCTTTTTAAAAAGACAAACTACTTCTCATGATATGTTGTGAGCTGTGGGTTCTGAAAGTGCAGTGGTTAAAGGGAGCATCCCGCCTTTTTTACTTTTCACTCATTGTTTCACCAGGTGAATACAATTTGAACAGTAATGCTGGTTTTCTTGTGATGATTCTAAAAAGCTCAGCACTTTGATTTGAAACAGCTGACCCTGCAGGAGAAATCTGATTTGACTCACTGCTCACCTCCATGAAAGTCATGCATTTCTTTGCCTTGCTTTTTTCCAACCTGTGTGTTCTGTAGTGTTTGTGACACACAATATTTATGTAAAATATGTTGAAAAAGTTTGAAACACTTTGTTTAGACAAAATATATATGAACAAAAAGTGTTATCCCACAAATTTAACAAAAAACTAGATGTATTCGGGGTCACATCGCGGCTTGACCACCTCACACACAACGACGAACTGCCGCACACGAAGCCGACAGGGAGACTCTCCCTACATGCCCCAAGCAGCACCTCTTATGCTCCTTTCAAGCCCACCTGCAACACGATCGGCGTGCGACTCGCCGGCGCCACCGCGTCTCACCTCACCGTGTCCAGGGGCTAATGCATCACGCCTTCGCTGTGACCGTTTCCCTACGTTAACACTGTCCTAGGGTGTAATCTATTGCCACATATGGTCCACTGCTACACTATACCATGGGTTTGATTTCTCTCCTGTGGTGTTTATCATGGTGGCTCAAGACAAGGCACACATTGGCTGGGCGAATGGGAGTATTGCATACTTCATGTGACACACTAGTTCAAACTTCTCCCAAAATGACAAATTGTCTGCCAAGGTGAGGGGAAGGTGACACCATATGGCCACGGTAGTCCAGTGCATTAGAAAGGTTCAGGAACTGGTGATTCAGGAACTGTTCATGCACAATGTCATGTTAGCATTAAATGTAGCCCTTGAATTCAATTGTGGGTGTGCCTTTAACAAGAATGTGAAGGCTGTCTTATGATTATGCTTGTGTTTGTTTCAGTCATCATGTTCCTGACGCGCTCCGAGTATGACCGGGGCGTGAACACCTTTTCGCCAGAAGGCCGGCTTTTCCAGGTGGGTGTCTGATGGGGCCTGCTGGTCGGCCGCGGATGGTGGTGTCTGACAGCTCCCTCTGGTCGGCGTGAGGTGATGGGGCTGGCATCTCACTCTGGCCGTAAGGAGCTAGTTGGACCAAATTTCGCTCTCTGGTCGTTGAGATCCAGAACGCCACAACGAACACATGTGTCAAGCACATTTATGTGTAATATGAAATCGGGAGACATGTACATGGTTGAGGTACTGAATGTCCCAATGCACATTTATGCCAAGCACATTCATGTGTATCACCAAATGGGGAAGCATATACATGTTTTCTATTGTTGTGCAGATGCGCTATTTGATGTATAAGCACCAATTCATCCTTAAAAGATGAATTAAGATGTGCTTGCTGTCCCTTGATGAGCCACACCTCGTGTATGTTGTTGGCACGTGGCCTGTCCCACTCGACACGGCGACCCAAACATGGGCCGACGGCCGCCGGGCGCTGCTGAACGGCCAGTGCCCCATTTGGTGCTCCATTAGATCGACTGAGACGGTAGTTATGCGTAGGGAAGACTTTGGTGAGAGTGTTGATGCCATACAGAGTCCTTGACTGGAGCTGGACAATGGTTGCTGGACGTTTGAGATCCACAATGCCGAACATTTTCAGTTACTGGGCATTCTTATCCAGCGCAGGGAAGCCACATCGCATTATGCTTGATTATTGGGCTTGCGGATCGATAAATCGTTTCAGAACCGCCATACTCATCATAAAAAGCCAGCTGTTGCATGCTAGCGCACACACTCTTACCAGCTACTCCGCGTGTCCTCACCGCAGGCTTTGACTGGCAGAATGACCGTACACAAGAAGCTGTTGTAAGTTGAAACGGCAGCGAGCGCCGGTGGTGTCCAGGCTCGGGCAGGCCGGCAGTGGTGGTCGTGAGATCTGACCAGTCAGTGGCGCACCGGGCCTCGTTACCAGAGCCCGGCCCGGCCGGTGGTGTCCAGGCTCGAGCAGGCCGGCAGCGCGGCCATGAGAGCTGACCAGTCAGTGGCGCACCGGGCCTCGTTACGAGCGCCCGGCCCGGCCGGTGGTGTCCAGGCTCGAGCAGACCGGCAGCAGCGGCAGTGAGAGCTGACCAGTCAGTGGCGCACCGGGCCTCGTTACCAGAGCCCGGCCCGGCCGGTACTGTCTAGGCTCGAGCGGAACGGCAGCGGTGGTCGTGAGAGCTGACCAGTCAGTGGCGCACCGGGACTCGTTACCAGAGCCCGGCCCGGCCGGTGGTGTCTAGGCTCGAGCAGGCCGGCAGCGGTAGTGAGAGCTGACCAGTCAGTGGCGCACCGGGACTCGTCACCAGAGCCCGGCCCGGCCGGTGGTGTCTAGGCTCGAGCAGGCCAGCAGCGGTAGTGAGAGCTGACCAGTCAGTGGCGCACCGGGACTCGTTACCAGAGCCCGGCCCGGCCGGTGCTGTCCAGGCTCGAGCGGAACGGCAGCGGTGGTCGTGAGAGCTGACCAGTCAGTGGCCCACCGGGCCTCGTTACCAGAGCCCGGCCCGGCCGGTGGTGTCCAGGCTCGAGCAGGCCGGCAGCAGCGGCAGTGAGAGCTGACCAGTCAGTGGCGCACTGGGACTCGTTACCAGCGGCCGGCGCGGCCGGTGGCCGCAGCTGCCTGACTCGAGCCCCGGCTGTCAGCCGGCGAGTCCGGTCCATCACGGGTCATTAGTGGCGGTCGGCCGGCGGGCGTCGGTAGCCCGGTCACGCGCCCGCCGGCCGACCGCCGGTGCGACGGCCTCTGTTGCCGGCCGGCCGCTCAGCGACCGCGCACTCCCTGCTGGTGTCACGACACCAGTGCTGCGGCAAAAATGCGTACCGGCAGGAGTGCTACGACGTCAGTCATACGTGACATGACTTAGCATGACATGACATAGCAATATCATGACATGTGGCATGACGTAGCAATGACTGTATAAGTTTTTACACACATCACACATAGCATGCCATGTGACATGACATAGCAATGGCTGTATAAGTTTTTGCATGGGGGTTATTACCAGTAAAGGGCTTTTGAGCATAAGTTTTGTCGTGTAGCACTAATATCACGTATACTTGTTTGCAGTAGCAGTCATGTCGTGTGTAAGTGAGGACTTTATAAGCGTTCCCAGTAGAAGTAATGACGAGTGCAAGTTTTTGCAACAAAAGTGTTGTCGCATAGTACTGATGTCATGTATAAGCATTTGCAGTAAAAGCAATCTTGTAACACTACTGCCAGTATTGGTTTTTGTTTTAGCGCTAATGCCGTGGAGCCGGCCCTGCTGGCCTTAGTTTGGACTGGAGCCCTTTCGGGCAGCAATTACTGTTGCGGGGCCATGCCATGTAAAAGGGTTGAAGAGTAAAGCGACAAGACTGTATGCGCTTGGGGATCCTTTGCTACCGGGACTTAGTTCGTACAGGAAGCATTCTCCGGGCTATGTGCGGGCCCTCGGGGGGGGGGGGGGGGGGAGGGGAGGGGCACTTCAGTCCTTTGATGGCTGGTGCCTGCAGCCAGCCCGGACAATAAGGGCGTTCCATGGATGAAGGATGAAGCGTTGAGTGCGGACAGACGGATGGGCGGGCTCAGGGAGCACTCCAAGACCCGCGAGCGGGTCACTCGCTGCACCGACCTGAGGTCAGGCGGGGGCTCAGGTGAACCGCGTGGATTCACCTGCTGGAGGAAACAGAATGTCGGGCCGAGGTGTTGTAGAACAACGAAATGTCGGGCTGGGAGCACGTAGAGCAACGAAATGTTGGACTGGGGGCGCGTAGAACAACGAAATGTCGGCTGGGAGTGCGTAGACCAACGAAATGGTGGGCTGGAATGTTGTTGGAATAACGCAATGACTGCATATTGAAAGACTGCATCCGGGAAGGTAAGCTCACAAGTAATCCGCGAGTACGTCACCATTAATGGTTTTCAACCTGGCATTTTTTCGAGTGGGCTTTTAAATCGTTGAACAGGATTGTAGGCCTGGAAGCTGTCGCCAACGTTGGTGATGAGTTGGCAAGCTGGCCATTTGGGCCGTCCTGTTGTTTCCACAGCGCGGGACTCCCAACCGGCGCACGCCGGTTTTGTCCACCCGGGCATGTACCATGCACTTTCGGTTACAAAACTAATGACTTCATCGCATGAAGTACTCCGGCCGGGCCGTCGATTCGACTTCCCGCCCGTCGTCGTTTTCCCGCCCCTTCCTGGTTCGTCGTGCCGCCAACAGATGGCAGCATGGACGCGCGCCAGGCAGGCCGTCGGCGAACGGTGTCCGCGCGTCGGCGGCTGGGGACGACGAACCCAAGAGTGCCAGGTCTTCCCCACACCCGGTGCCGTACTTACTGTTTAACCACTTTGGCACGGGTTTCATGCCGGCGCGGAAGGTCGTTCGGGTGTAATGGCGGTGGCCGATATGCGGAGGTAGTGGTACTCAGTCGAAGGGCCTCCGGCGGTCGCGGACGGCCGGGCCCGCTGAACCTGGCCCGTCGACGACCTGGGGTCACCACTGGCGCTCAGTTCCCCGGCCGGGCTGCTGCCCCGGACGTACGCCGACCGTCCGTCTCGAATGTCTTATCAGTCCTGCTTATTGTCATTGCAACAGGGGCTGTGTACTTCCAAGGATGCCTCACTTAATTCAGTCGGGTTAACTCCGTTGTGGAATGAGTCGCATGCGTTAGATGTAAGGCTCACGCGCAAGTGGCGGTGGAATGCGCCGCCCGATTTATCGAGCGCCGGCCGCGTGCGTTTGGCAGCATGCCGTCCCTGTTGCGCCTGTTACACCATCCAGTTCCGATGGCACCTGCCTCGCCTCAGCCTGTAATACCACCTTCTGGGCGGTCCTTGTTTCACCTGTTTTACTGGTGCCTGTGAGACGTCCCAGCTCCCAGCGTCTATTACACGTGCGACTCACATGTAATGACTCGCGGCTGACGTATAAAAACACGTGGGATGTGTTCTTCGTCCAGTCACGTCTTTTTTATCTTAAAGGGAGTGTTTCACATTGATATGGGGTTTTGAGACTGAAATGACCATACTGAAGACCTTTCTGTGCTGTCCACGATCCTGCCCTTCTCAATACCCAAACCCCCTAGTTTCTGAGCTACACGACCTCGACATTGGGGAAAGGTATACAGGGGGGAGCATTTCAGGCATCTTGGCATTTATGACGTCATAATAACGTCATTCAAATCCTGTCATTCCATAAGTCATGCCGCGATCAAGGCCAAGAAAAGAAACTGTGGAGCCGTTCATATCTCGCGTTCGTGAGCTCAATTTTTAAATATACCAGTCGCCAATTGGCTCTCAAGCAAGGTATGATGACGTAATCAAACCACGACGCATTGAGGAGCATATTTACTCAATAGGACATTGCGCTGTGTAGAGCAGCCTTTTCCACTTTAAAAGCATGCCAAGAGTTATAAGCGAGCTTGTTTCATCATATGTGATGCTTTTTTCAATATCTTCAAATGTGAACCATTCCCTTTCAATTAGTAGCTGACCAGGGTAAATAAAACACGCGTTGTTGATTGGTGATATAGTATTCTGAACTAAAGGCAGGGTTTCCGCCCTCGCCCCAGAAGTGTTGGCAGGTAAGATCTATATAGACTTCTATATCTATATACTTAAGATATATATATATATATATATATATATATATATATATATATATATATATGTAAGGGCAATGTTCTGGACGTTTTTGGGTATTGCCGTCCAAGTTATCCCCGCAGCGTACCGTCGTAGTCCACCAACTAAAACCCCGGTTTCCAAGACACCCTTCGCGTCGGCTTTGATTCATTTTAGGAGGGCCGAGGAACCCATTACAGTAAGTGACCTGCCAGCGTCGATGGGCCGTACTTGGAGAAGTTTTTGTGTGTATTTGGATAACAGTATTTTAGTTTCGGTAGACCACTTTGATGAATCGTACCATCACAGGCTCAATGTTTTACTTTGGTGTTCATACATCTAGGGACCTGAACTATGCAATGAAAACATTGAGCCTGTGTGTGCTTGTGTAGGAATGTCATATCCCAAGAAAAATAGCCAGTAAGATGAGTGGAATATTTTCTGCGACTTTATAGCTACAATGACCAGCTGGAGAATAGACCCCCTGTGGCTCTAAAATAATTCAAAACATTTTTGGCCTATAATCATTATTTTCAGCTCATTGTAAACCTTCAGTGGGCTGAAGTTTAAGGGGCAGGACATCCATTTCACCGAAGTGAACATATCGTCTTAGCCGATTTAAGCCACCAAGATGCTTGGCGTATCTGAAAGACTACAAGTTGTCTGATTTACTTCTTCAAACGCTGCTCCCATGAACGATTTTGGAGCGTTTTTTCAACCTTGGTGTCGTGATCGATATTATGTAGTTATTATATTATTTTATTTAATTGTCATGATATTATTAGCAAGCTGCTTGCTTGCTGCTGTCAATTTCAACGCGCTGTCACGCCAACTGTACACTGAGCGCCTCGCGTGAATTGAGAGACGTTAGTCGACCAATGGTCCAGTGTATTCATATATTTCGTCCAGTGTCCGCACCGGTAGTCTAGTGACGTTCGTCACTGGTGACCCCTCCGCTGTATTGCCAGCGCAGATGGCAAAATCACAAATGATCACAAGTGTCCTCACCACGGTCAGAACATAGCACGTTTGAACTGATAACCATTAAAGGGAATGTTTCACATTTAAAGACATTTAAGCAGGCATCAGATATGATGAAACAAACTCACTTATGACTCTAGTAAATATGCTTCTCAATGCTTCATGATTTGATAACGTCACGGTACCTTGCACAACATTGATTGAGGGCCATTTGACGGCTGATATGTCTCGATGTCGCGCTCGCAAACGCCAGCTATGAGTGCTTCGACGATTATCTTTTCGTGGCCTTGATCGCCACATGGCCCAAAAGTGACATTATTTGAATTGCGTTATGATGACATCAGGAATGCCAAGTTGACTGAAATGCTCTCCCTGATATACCTTTCCCCATTTTCGCGGACGTATAGCTCAGAAAGTAGAGGGGCTTGGGTCTTGAGAGCAGGATTGTGGAGAGTACCGAAAGATCTTCGAGCTGGCTATTTCAGTTCAAAACTGTATATAAATGTGGAGCAGCCCCTTTAGGGAACGCGCAAGCTCCTTATGTTCATGGAAGCATGTAAATGGTCTTTCATGGTCTTGAAAAATGATCTTGCTTTAACTGTTTCTCACGTCGGCTCATTTAAAAAAGACCTTCCTTCCAGTTGTGTCCGATACATCCAGTTATGACCGACTGCCAGTGTAGCAGTGACATGGCTGAGGTTCCATCTACCAATTATTCCTTGTTGAGACAGTGACCACCACTGCGTGACCCGGAAGGTACGAGTCGACAAAGCTGTAATACATTTTAGATTGACAGACATATTTGAAAGCTATCAGACATGTTGATAAGCCCTAAAGCCACTGGTTCCTTCGCTCCCATGTGTGATGACTTAAAACGTCACCCAACCGCATCAACAAAGACTACCTGCAGCTTTATGTTCCCTTCGGCATCACCTCGGTAGTGTGTCCGGTGATCCAACAGCGCGTGTTCCATAGTTGTCATAGCAACAGGGTGCCTGGGACCATGCGTGGCCCTCAAGCTGCAGCGGCGGTCGTACCGCCGCAGCCGTTTGCGCTGGGACCGTTAGGTTCGGCGGCGGCGGGGGTCAGCGTCTCGTCGAGCCGCGGCCGAGCGTCGATGACGCCCCGCCTAGCTGGGGTCGAGCGTCGATGACACCCCGCCGAGCTGGGGCTGAGCGTCGATGACGCCCCGCCAAGCTGGGGTCGAGAGTCGATGACGCCCCGCCGAGCTGGGGCTGAGCGTCGATGACGTCCCGCCAAGCTACGGTCGAGCGTCGATGACGCCCCGCCAAGCTGGGGTCGAGCGTCGATGACGCCCCGCCGAGCTGGGGCTGAGCGTCGATGACGTCCCGCCAAGCTACGGTCGAGCGTCGATGACGCCCCGCCGAGCTGGGGCTGAGCGTCGATGACGCCCCGCCAAGCTGGGGTCGAGCGTCGATGACGCCTCGCCGAGCTGGGGCTGAGCGTCGATGACGCCCCGCCGAGCTGGGGCTGAGCGTCGATGACGCCCCGCCGAGCTGGGACTGAGCGGTGATGACGCCCCGCCGAGCTGGGACTGAGCGGTGATGACGCCTCGCCGAGCTGGGGCTGAGCGTCGATGACGCCCCGCCGAGCTGGGGCCGAGCGTCGATGACGCCCCGCCGAGCTGGGACTGAGCGGTGATGACGCCTCGCCGAGCTGGGGCTGAGCGTCGATGACGCCCCGCCGAGCTGGGGCTGAGCGTCGATGACGCCCCGCCGAGCTGGGGCCGAGCGTCGATGACGCCCCGCCGAGCTGGGGCCGAGCGTCGATGACGCCCCGCCGAGCTGGGACTGAGCGGTGATGACGCCCCGCCGAGCTGGGGCTGAGCGTCGATGACGCCCCGCCGAGCTGGGGCTGAGCGTCGATGACGCCCCGCCGAGCTGGGGCCGAGCGTCGATGACGCCCCGCCGAGCTGGGACTGAGCGGTGATGACGCCCCGCCGAGCTGGGACTGAGCGGTGATGACGCCTCGCCGAGCTGCGGCCGGGCGTCAATGACGCCCCGCCGAGCTGGGGCGAAGCGCCGATGACGCCCCGCCGAGCTGGGGCGAAGCGCCGATGACGCCCCGCCGAGCTGGGGCGAAGCGCCGATGACACCCCGCCGAGCTGCGGTCGAGCGCCGATGACGCCCTGCCCCCTCGGCCCCCAGGTGGAGTACGCCATCGAGGCCATCAAGCTGGGCTCGACGGCCATCGGCATCCAGACGTCCGAGGGCGTGGTGCTGGCCCGTCGAGAAGCGCGTCACCTCGCCGCTCATGGAGCCCACCACCCTCGAGAAGATCGTCGAGATCGACAAGCACATAGGTGAGCGTCGGCGGACGGGAGGCCGGCCTGGCGCACGGCTGGGGTGAGTGATGCGAGGCCCGGCCTGGGGTGCTGTTGGCCACCCTGGCCCGGGCGCAGTGCTGCTAGCCTCGTATTGCAGTTTGTAGCGACGTTGTGGTCTGAAATCTACGGCGCTGTCGGTACACGTGGGGCGGGGTCCGTTCGGTTCACGCTGGCTTCGTTTTGTGGCTGTGAAGGCCTGCCGAGTGATGTCAGTACACCATTGGCGGTTGTGCCAATGGGTTTCGTTGCGATCGACGAAGTACACAACTAGCGTCGGGATGTTGGCCAGAACTCATAGTTGGTGTGCTGACGCGTCCTTCTAGGCCGAGGTGTTTGACGTCATGGTTTTGCGGTGTTCATGTGTGGCGTATCTCGGTGCAGTCACAGTAAGCCATAACCCCGCATACGCGGCGATTGTGGGGCCTGCTCCGTGAGATTAGACGTGTCACCGAGGTCAGCCCAGCCCTGCACTGGGGTCACGTCCCCAGAGGATTAAGGCGCCCGCTCTCAGTCACCGAGGTCTGCCCAGTGCTACGCTTCATCAGGCTAAAACCTCACTTTGATTAACTTGGCTGTGCTCACTGGTTTCGAGATCGTGAGCATGAACGATGCGTTAGAGAAAGAGGCGAGCGGTTTAACGCTCAAATGAGAATAGCTTATCACGCTTGCTTCCGAGCGGAGCCAGAATGGGCTCCGGTTCAGATTCCTATTTTGTTGATCCGTGTATTTTGATGCCGGAGTTAATGAAACTTTCGTAGCAAAATTGCATTCGATATGTATGGATTTGTTCCGAGTCAGAGTCGGTAATCATTAACCCTATTGTTGTTGGGTCGACTTTAATGCGAATTAGGTAGAAGCGCAAATAAATTATCTGGCAACCGATGTCCACCAAGTGGAAATCAGACATGCATCGCAATTATCCTAAGCGTAGCTTGACACGCCCCGATAACGGTTGGATACTTTTCGCTCGGGTGGTGGGGGGGGGGGGGGGGGGGGGGGAGAGGGGGTCAATACGACCACCCCTCAGATTTCAGGAACTAAAAGGACTAGAGGCACCAAATTCGCACCGAGGTCTGCCCAGTGCTACGCTTCATCAGGCTAAAACCTCACTTTGATTAACTTGGCTGTGGCTCACTGGTTTCGAGATCGTGAGCATGAACGATGCGTTAGAGAAAGAGCGAGCGGTTAACGCTCAAATGAGAATAGCTTATCACGCTTGCTTCCGAGCGGAGCCAGAATGGGCTCCGGTTCAGATTCCTATTTGTTGATCCGTGTATTTTGATGCCCGGAGTTAATGAAACTTTCGTAGCAAAATTGCATTCGATATGTATGGATTTGTTCCGAGTCAGAGTCGGTAATCATAACCCTATTGTTGTTGGGTCGGACTTTAATGCGAATTAGGTAGAAGCGCAAATAAATTATCTGGCAACCGATGTCCACCAAGTGGAAATCAGACATGCCATCGCAATTATCCTCAGCGTAGCTTGACACGCCCCGATAACGGTTGGATACTTTTCGCTCGGGGTGGGTGGGGGGGGGGGGGGGAGAGGGGGTCAATACGACCACCCCTCAGATTTCAGGAACTAAAAGGACTAGAGGCACCAAATTCGCAGGGTGTTGTTGGCCTGTACGTGGACTCACTTAGCTCAAAGTTTGAGGCTGCTAGGTCATGACCTTCGGGTCAAATAAGGTAAAACAAGGTTAAACTCCAGGTTGGGCTCCAAAGTGCCCCCCAGAACCTGGATACCTGTTCTGAGCAAGAGGTCACATGCTCATTCAAGGTCAGTTGCCTTGTTTCACCTTTGGAAGGTCATGGTAACCAAAATCATATAAGACTGCTTTGAGTTTTGCATTTGAATAAGCGACAAGGATTGCGCTAGGTAGTATGTTCCTAAAAACAAAATATTAACCTGGGCCATTTTAGGTCAATGACCTATTCTGGCCCGTAAGAAGTCCACGGAAGATGTCTGATGCGGTTCCTGTTATCAATAAATTGAGCACCAGAAACTACCCCACAAAGCCCTAGAGCAACGCGACAAGTTGGTTTTGACCTTGGTCTGACCTTCATGTCTGACCCTAGGTCAATGGACTTTGGTCGTTCAATTGTTGTGTTGCTTAAGAAAGTATCTCAGAGATGTATGGCTTCGTCTAACACTCCGTTTCTCCATCAGATTGAACGATTCCGTAGAGACTGACTTCTGAATCCATGATCTGACTGTGACTGTGACTGTAATGTCAGCGACCTTATGAAGTTATATGCAATTTTTTGATACCACACGATCCGCTTATTCCATTGTCTACAGCTAAGTATAATTTGGCGCGGGCTACGTGATGCCGTTCGGAAACTTACTCCGGAGAAACCCTCGGGGAGTCAATGTAACCCCGCCCGGAGTGCGTGTTCAGGTTTATTGCAGTTCGGTCTTATCAAATCAACTGCCCTATCTTGCTTTTTATGAAGCCGATCGAACGAGTCGTGTCCCAACTGTCTTTCAGGGGGGATCGGGTCGAAAGCCTTAGTAGTGCTAGCTTGAAGAGAATGTTCCACATCGGAAGATATTGAGGCAAACATCATATATGATGTGAAAGCTCGTTTGTAATCTAGGTGTGGTTTTAAGTGCAACAGGCGCAAATGACACATTTTCACCATTTAGTTATACGCCCCTCAATGCATCATTGTTTCACGACATCATAGGACTTTTTTATTACGTCAGAGTTGCTGCCATCGCGGGCGTGTCAGAATTAACGCTGTCGCGGACGGGTTAACTTGTGCTTTAGCACACCGCTAAGTGGCTTGTTAATTTGTACGCACGTGTTTAATCCGACTTTCATTATGTGCGCGTGTTTTAGCCCTTTGTCGTGGTGTTCTCGTATATTTGACGACGATTTTACATGTTTTACTTGCATTCGCATTCTTGATCGCGGCGTTTTTCTTAAGATATTCGATTTGCATTCTCATGACAGTCATAACTAGAATTACCACCCGATTGCCGGTATTATGTATACAAATGGAGGTTCGTGATCGAAACCCGACTCGTTAAGCTGGTCGAACGCCAACTGACGTCCGTTGATGCGGCGATTTGTGCTGACATGCTTTAGACAGGAAAACGTCAGTCCTCACACTTTGCATCGCCTTGAACACAGTATGGTCATTGAGCGGGCGGAATTCTTCAGACGTCTCTACGACGTCATACATCTTTTAAGTGATTTCAAAGCTGGCCGTGAAAAAGTCAGCACAAGTTCGTGTGCATCTAGCTCAAAAATGGGGGGGATTGAAACACTTAAAAGGGCAAAACTTTGAACTGCAAGGAATTGCCGTTGAAAGTGGTTTTCTTAGGTCGGACCCCATGCAAATATAGAGCAATCCCTTTAATGTCAACCGAATAGTCGTGATCAATTTCATGTGCCGTGCGCAGGGGTCGGATTGAGTGCGGCGAGCTAGGAATAATCACAAGCCGACCAAATGGCCAGCATTCCCCAAAGCACATCTCTGCTTTTTGTGGATGGATATAATTAAACAGACATCTTGCGATGTTGTTTTCGTAGGTTTGCCATCGGTGTCCCCAGCGCGACGGTATTACCACGACGTGCGTCGCTGTGACGTGCCCGCGGGGACGGCGGCCGGCCGTCTCACGTCTCACCTGGCGGGCGCGCCGGTCATTATTTCCCTGCGGACCGGCCGGAGCGCCGCACCCTGGCCCCGCCCCCCGCCCCGCCAACTGCTCAGACCTGGCGCTGCTGCGCACGGACAGAGCCAGCACTACGCGAACGCGGGCCGAAGCCGCTGCCGGCGCGGCGGATGTCCGAGCCCCGGGCGTGGCGTCGCCAATGCAGCGTGGTGTTTGGCCGTGATTGCCCGCGGACGCAGCCCTAACAGGCTGACCGCCGGCTGACAGAGCGGCCGGGGTGCAGAGGCCTGCTGCGGACGGGCGGACGGAGGCGGGATGGGGCGGCTCGCTCGCCGTCCCTCCCTCTTGTCAGCCCAGCACCGGTCGGCGACGTGGCCGGGCCGCGTGGCGCGCCGCACGACCGCGGCACGGCAGTGGTGGCACGGCAGCCGCGTGTGACCGAGGGCGCGGCCGGTGACCGGAGCCGTCGGCACGCGTGTCACGGGCCGACGGCGGCCGAAACTCGCTGGCGGTCGGCTGGGGGAAGCCCGTTCCGCGCCACTGACGCCAGTCTACCGCAACCGGGCGCTTTGAAAATAAGGTCCAAAATTCGTGAACGGGAGCAGACGAAGACTCGGCGCTGACCGCACGGTGTAGGTGCTCTTTACTATCCTGCCTGTCGCGATGCTAGAGGTCGTGCAGGCAGCAGGCAATGGCGCCTCTCTGAAGATCGGTTTCGCATGCAGCTGACTGGTGCACGAGGCGAGGCGGATGGAACCACGTTCGCCGCACAAACGCGTTACCCGGTCCCCCGTCAGCAGTATCCTCCCAAGCGGTTTGTTTTCGTGAGTGCGTTGGTCGCGATCGAAGAAAAGGCGAACCGATCATGATTCGCCGGATGGACGTCATGGGCCCGACGAGGTCGGCGAGCCCTAAAGCCCCAATCATCATCGCCGGTGGCGTCGGCCGAAACTGCGGAGCCGGGCAACACCCATCGATGTCCAGTTTCGGTGTAGACAAGGCATCTATTAACAATTGGGACGACTGGATGTGATTGTGACACATTGAATTGCGCACGTTGACAACGTCGCTCGGAGTTCCTTAGCTTTTAATTGTGTGAATATTGAGCTCGTGTAACGTACTTGTCTGCTTGCCGTTCCGAGGGATGAACATTCTAGTGCAACGATGCGACTTATTTGTTAGAGTTTCAAAGCTGTCTGACCTGACTGGCAGTTGTTTCGGCGTCATTTGTGTCATCACCTCGCTCGCTCGACGCTTAGCTGTACATAAAGAA